CGCTTCCACCGCCGCTAGGCTGCGCCCAGGGTGGCAAAACGCAGCCGGAGGACAGAGGAAAAGAAAACTCAGCCAAGAGAGGAAAAGAAAACTCAGCCAAGAGAGTGTGTGGGCTTTACATTGATTAAAGAGTGATTCTGAATCTCTTGTCAGCTTAGGGGAGAAAGAACTTCTTTTAGATACTGAAAATACTGTTTCAGTTAAGATGCAGAAAATAACAACTTTGTTGTGATCTTTTACGTAAGAAACACTAGTACGTAGCTGCTTATAGCAGTTTTAAAAACACAACTGTGCTGCTCAGAAAAAGCATTTTACAGCCTACCCATGATCTGTGATGTGCCATAATTGGTTGCACATGTCTGTCTTTTTTTCAGCAGTGAATTCTTTCTACAGTGTCCTATTTCAATCTCACACATGCTACAAGGGAATTTTGGGAGTTTTCAGCTTAAGAAGCTGGAGAATATAAATATCACCCCAAACACTGCAGGCCAGAGAAGTGTTATTTATTCTCCTGTTAGTCTTATGAGCTAGAAACTACTGTCGCCTCCCTTCCCCATTTTATACAGGGGGAGTTTGAGCACAAAGGAGACTGAAAACTATCCAACAATCATCTGTAATTTGATCTCGGGTATCCTGAATCTTCATCTAGTAGTCTGTTCACTGGCCCACTCATGTTTAATAGCAGAGTAAAGTGTTGCTAGCATGAGTATCTAAATGTAATCATCAGGCACGAGCAAAACACGGTCTGCTTTAATGTTGCATTCAGGAATATGTAACTTTCTTAGGCACTTAAATGCCTACGACTGGATGCCAGGGTAAGGAGGAGAGTATACACAGGGAGGCAACTCATACATTTCTACTGTGTTTGGGGAGAACAATCCTTGCACTGCTTTATGCATCTCCATTTCATGCAAATCAGGCAAGGTTGTTTCTGACTTTGATTCAGACAACTCTGCCCATGGAGAAAGCATATTCAGGGATGAGGACAGAGCAGTATCCATTAATCAGCTAAGGCACATTCTTCTGTGATGCCACTGGGCTTCCGCTCTTGCAAATTGTTTCCATGTGTGCTGTAGCTAACTCACGTCTGATTGTACTTTTACTCCATCAGTTTAGTATGGGAAGAGAGACGAAAACAAAACATAGCTTAGAAAGCTTGCTTTCAGCTCACTGAAATGTAATCACCATTTCAAATACACAAAGAACAAGATCCCACAATTTTTTCACTCTGTCCTATTTTAGAGCATAGGGTCTGAATTGCAGATGAAATCAGGAAAGCTAACTTATCTTACATTGATTTTAGCCAGCTTTTTCTGTATGGTTGATTCATCTCCAGATGCATCTGACCAGCGGTGCAGCTCTTCCTTTGCAGAATGGAGCCAGTCTGTGAATTCATGCACAGCATCAAGGTATAGCAAATGATCCTTCACAATATCTTCCACTTTCCTCATTTTCTCCTATCATTCAGATGAAAAAAAAAAGACGACCATTAAAGTGCTTCAATACTGTCCTGGCTTTAAGCATCCAGTGGTATAGAGTGCTGGTCTGATCTTTTAGCATCCATTTGAATGCTGAATAAAGCACAGCTTATAGCAGCAGAACACAGTGCTACACTGCACGAGGTTTGGTTTAGGTTGGTCTGGACAGGCATGTTCTGCTGGAGCAAAAGATGAAGAAGCCTTCTGAAAATGTATGCAAAAATGTACTTTAACACATCCTTTAACACAAAATGTATAATTTAATAGATGGCAAATTTCCAGCAGTGCAACTCTGGCACACTTTTCCCAATACCCCCTGGAGGGGGTCTTAAAGATCATCCATGAGTCCTCCCAGGGAGCAGCATGCTGTCAGAAACATAGCTCTTATTTAAAAGCACCAAGTCTCTATAAATACTAAGCAGAGTCAGAGAGATATTCCATACGAAGACCACAAAGGAGGACTTCTGCTGTTCAAAAGTGCAAAAGGTTCTTATGGTGCTGAGTCCCTTTTTAACAATCAGATCAGAAGTGGTGGCCATCCCCGGCCACTTGCCTTGCAGCCCTGGAGGACGCTTGCCCTGACACAGGCATATGACAGCTTCATGGCTCCATCTTAGCTTTTTAATGTAAGCTTAAAGTGGGGCCAGCTCACCTTACCATGAAAAGGTGAAATAGTGTACTAGTCTAGATTTGCCTTTGGTCTGACTGAGTAGATTTGTTCTTATATTCTTGTGAGCTAATACTCAGGAATGTTTATCAAAACTAACCAAAAGTGAAATGAGCTAATCAGATAGCTTTTTACTCCTGTGTGGATACTCTAATCTAGATCTAAGTGTCCTTAAACCAGTTTCAAACTAAATAACTTATGAATTAAACTCCAGTTATTTTTAATTTTGAATAACTCAACATTCAACTAATGCTTTTAAAAATTAAGTTAGATTAATAAGCCCTACTGTTCCCTCTGAAAATAATCACCATTATTTCTCAGAATGTGTCAGACCAACTAGACGATGGATAGTTACTAGGTAAACAAAGATGACCTAAAGTAAATCCTCAAAGTTTTTACATCTTAATGCATTTTATGCAACAACAGAGTAAGAAAATGTCCACATGTGCCTGATTCTAAACAAAATAGGTAGCTTCCTAGTGAAGCAAAAGAGCCTCAGGAAAGGCAACCACACACCCCTGTTTACTTTGCTCACACCAAAATATAGCACCAGTAGAGGGGGAGAGTGGAGGCAAAGTGCAACTTCAGTTGGTCTCTTCTGGTGGCAATGGCTTCTACCAGTTGCAGTCAGTGCTGTTCTCTCCCAAGGGAAAGACTGCAAAGCTGTCTTTCTTGCTTAAGAAATTAAATTTATAGATGCATATAGATGCATATTGCTCCAGATTTAACACTGCTGAAAGAAGTAGCTATATGAGGATGAAACTGCACTGATTCTCTAGAAACCAGGTTCATAGCTTACTATATCCATTAAAAAAAAGAGAGCAGAAGTTTGTCATAAAAACAAGAGAGTGTGTGAATAGATGGTAATTACAGACTAGATACATCTGAGAGGGCTGTAATATCTATGGTCTATGTTTAAAGCAATAAAGCAATGACACTAATAACATATCTTAACCCACAAATAAAAAAAACCCAAATCCAACCCCAAACTGCATGATTCTACATAATGACTTTCCTTTATCAACTTTAGTAAGAAAAATACAGATTTTTACTGAAGAAGTAATTTCATATGCCCTAGATTTAACTTTTTTTGTAACAGAGAATTTGTTGGATCTTCCACTTATTTTTTTACTTTGGTACTCTTTTTTATATAGACTATTGATGAATTATCTACAGGCCATCATCTCTGTTCTCAATACATGAAAATTCAAATCACGCTTCCATCAGATTACTAAATTTATATACAATGTTTACTTCAATCTCACATTAGCCTGTTATTATGTGGCCTTTTCCTGATGCAAACTTTCCTCTTAGCTGAGAAGGTGGAGATTGTAACTCGGATCTAGTGTCACTTGTCATGATTTGGTTGGCAGAAGGTCTCACTGACCTCATGTGTCTTTCCTTATAAACCAAATAGAATACCCGTATAGCATGTGCAGTGCTTAGTGGCTTGGAACACCACAAAATATGGGCATATATCTTTCTGACAATAGGATTTTTCTTTCTGACAATACGTTTTCTGCTCAGGGAGGCACTTTGTTCTTCCCTTTCTAGGTTAAAAAAAAAAAAAAAAGTGCTATGAATGAATGAAAAAGAATTAGATGAAAATAAATCTGGAAGAATGTCAGAAATATTGTTGTATATATGAAACTAGGAATAAAATACATGCCCTTCACTCTTCAAAAATCATAACCGTACCAATTACAATTTCCAACAACTTTTTTGCATTCTAGTGAATTTTAGTAAACTACATCCAACTTTTTTGTTAGACTCAACCATAACAAAAGGCAAGACTATTCAAACACAATCAAGCCTTTAGTTACTAAAAAATTACGAAAACCAAAATTTTAGTCTTATATACAGATATCGAAACATTTTACTTGAAATGGAGGCCTTTATCTTACCTTGGCTACAGTTGTGATATCATTAAACTGTGTTTTTAATTCTTCTTGAGCTGCTTCTCCAAAAGAATCATCCTCTGTTTTTTCATACAGTTCCACAGCTTTTTCAGTGAGTTGCTGTAAATCACCAGAGTGATCCTCTATCTCAGAAACAATAGCCTGGAAGTGGTCCAGCTGAGCAAACTTCTCCTTCAGACCAATCTGTGGTTCTAAAGGCCGTTCCACTTTGTGATCCAATTTCTCTAACCACTGTTCCAGCTGGTTTTTCCTTTCCAGATATTCATTCCACTGGCTAATGACAGACTCTAGGCAGCTTACATTAAAAGAAACACACACAGTACAGATGAGAACTTTTGAAAGTCTGAAAAAAAAGAGCCTGCTTATACCTTAACTGTCACACTGTCTGTAGCCATGCATAATATGTTTAGAATATGCTTTTTCCCTTACCTTGCTTTAGTTTTCTACATCAGCTTACATCCAAGCTATTCTAGAATTTCTGTGTTCTTTGGGCTACTACATATAACTAGGTTACATGAGCAATCTGTCTCGGACTAATGAAAAGCACATTACAATGTCTGTCCAGCAAAGTAAAATACAGAGTATTACTGGAGTTCTTTATGATCAGCGTAATAAAATGTACAGCAGCCTATGAAATTATTGACAATTAAGATATATTCTGGCAAGTTTTGGAAGAACACATCATTTATATATAGTCTCATTTACAACTTATAAGAAATACTCTCTTCTGTTATATATTGCTCCTCCTAGCAGAACACCAGATTTCTCTGGGATTTGTGTTGAGGAATGTAATTCTCATTCCACTGGACTTAATGATAGACACGTGTGTGGTAAGGATTTCATTCAAAATTAATAGCCTAATTGAAATAATATTTTATGACAAAAATTGAGTGAAATTAGAGTGAAATCTTAAAGGCAACCCATTATAATTTTCTACATATAATTGTATTACAATTCTGGAATAAGTAAGAAAGTGGCATCACTTTCAGTTGAAAAACTCCCATTTACCTATATCATGGCTCTCACTATTGATGGCTGATATTTAGGACCCAGATACCCTAGCGCTCAGATTATCTAAAATACAGATCTATGACCTCTCTGATGCAGATGTATGAGTTTTCTGATGCACGGAAAACTTTGTTTTCATTAGAGAACTAAGGAAGTAGGATCATGCAGAAGTTCACCAAAGGCCCGTTTCTATCCAGTAATGACTGGGATATTGGAACAGAGAGTGCTTGTAAAACCCACAGATGAAAGCAACCAGGGAGCGGCTGCAGCTAGTTTGGATGATAAGATTTAAATGTCAGATGTTCTTAAAAGAAATTTTAAAAAGATGGAATTTGATGATAAAAATAATGCTTTACTTAGGAAGTGGAAATCAGATATACAAATACAAAATTGGGGATAACTGCCTAGGCTTAGTCCTGTGGAAAAGGATTTGGAGATTGTAGAGGATAAAGAAGTAAACAAAATTCAACAATATGATACCATTGCAAAGAAAGGAAAATCTCATTCTGGAGTGGATTAAGAAGAGTGTTGTATGAAGGAAACGGAAAGTACTGATACTCTATTCAGAATTAATAAGGTCTCAAATACAGTAAGAGGTCAGCCCACTTTCAGTTATTATCTTTTAAGAAAAATGTAGACGAACTAGTGATAGTTGCAATCTATTGAAAAAGAAACAAGGATGAAAGAGGTCCGAAAGTATTAGTCCTGAGAAACATCAATCTGTCTAGAATAGAGATGATGGAGGCCTTCAAATATATAAAATGGTCTCACACAGGCAGTAAGAAAAACTTTCAATTTCTACTGAGGTTAAGACAAGAAGAAGTCAGCTTAATTTGTAAGAAAGGTGATTTGGAGTGGATATTAGGATTTTTTTTTTTTAATTAAAAAACATAATGAAAGACAGAATTGAGAAACCTTCCTAGAGTTTTGTAAGGAGAAGATAGATAAATATGTCAGATGTTCTTGGTCCTGCCCAAGTACAAGTTAAATAACTCAGAGAGCTTTTTCTCCGTGTGAATTTGTATGATTTCTATTTAGTTTTAAATTACTATCACGTACCATCTCATATGAAATTTGATTCATCTGATAAGGTCAACTCATCTTTTTTATAGAAGGATGTATTTTTTTCAGGCAATTTTGATTCTCTCTGATGATGCAACTTTCCCCTCACATACCACTAATGAATAAATGAACACCTATATGCTGTAAGGTACCACTCTTTGTAAGCGAATATGGCAAGGTCTGACCTGTGTTTTCCAGGGAGTTTTACCTCTGCCAGTTCACTGAGGTCCTGATGATGTCGTTCCACACATCCTTCAGCGTCTGTAGCTCGGTTTGTATCACCTTTTGTCCCTCCTCATTGCTGCTTCTAAGTGCTTGTTCTCCTTTGCCAATGGCCATGTTCAGCTTAACTTCACCATCACCTTTGAGTAAGAGGATCTCCTGTGAGGCAAAATAAGTTAAAATATCAAATGCAACCTGCTGAGAGGTGAAAGCTGTTATTCTTTCAACAGTGGACACCGTCTTCCCTGAGCTCATTTATCCTTGACATCCATACCCAGTATGAATTCCTAGGCATCTTTTCTTGTAAGTGCCTGTCCCTTGCTATGTGCAAGTGATCCAGAAGTATTTCCCGCAGCCATACAGGTATTTCACTGCATTGGTCATCCTAAAATATTGCTCACATTGCAGTAGATAATGAGTAGGTCAAGCATTGCACAAAAAGACAGCACCATATTGCCAGAAGAAATCTCAAGAAAGCCCATGGAAGGATCTCCTACACTGATGACCTTCCTAATAGATGTTTATCTAACCCGAAGACCTCCTGTGACAGATATGTCACAGTCTCTCTGTGTCAATTATTCCAAGGCTTCCCCTCCATTAGAAAGCTTTTTTCATAGTTCATTATTCTTTATTAAATGTAATACCTGGCACCTGTCTCCATTAAACTTCATCCTGTTTTTCATATTTCACCTCCCAATTTGTCAAGAACACCTTAAATTCTAATCCTCTCCATCATAACCGTAGAAAGAATAAAATATATTCCTTTTCCACTGATGTGACCCACACCCAATAGTAACCTTGATGCATCATCTCTAGTTGTATCATTCTTTACCTGAATTTGTGCCAGTCGTCTCTCTAGTGTGGCTTTGCTACCAACAGTGCTCTCTGATGATGCCAGTTTATCTTGAACCTCTTTGACCCATGACCACATACTCTGCAATGCCTCCTCCAAAGTGAGATGCTCTTGGAGTGCAAGCTGACATGTTCGCAGCTTCTCCTTGACAGTTTTGACCATGTTTTGATAATTGGTGAGATGTTGAGAGGCCAGGCGCACTTCCCTCCCTGCACCATGGCCTTCTTCATTTAAAGTCTGTGCCATTTGAGACAGCTTATCAAAACGTTCCCTGAAACAAAATATTGAGACTGAAAATCAGTTTCAGAAAGCATATGATATTGTTGCAGCAACTATCAAAAATTATGAAGGTTCCTGACATAATCACCTATTCCACCAGTGACAGAGTTCATAGTTAACAGAAAAATTAGCTAGTAGAGACTGAAAAGAAATATAAGCAGTGCATATTGATTAATATCTTTACTTGTGTACACTGCCCTTTCTTGGTGCTCAGAATGATCACACTGAAATATTTGTGTTGCACATTTGAATTAAAAGCTAACTGAATTTTCTTTTCAGCTGTCAGACTTTCCAGTTCTATATGAACTGCTACCTTTTTGTACCTGTCAAAGCTTCTGAGAAGTTTAAAGTCTTTGACAGGTAGGAAGGCATGATGGGAAAGGTCAGGCTATTTGTCCAGGATTAGACACTGATTCTGGGGTTCAGTACAAGGGTCAATAAAAAGGATTAAAACTCTGGGTTTATACAGCCTTAGTTAATCTCAATCTGCTGGATCACCCTTTCTGATACCCTGTGATTACAGGGAATTTACATCAGACCAAAATGTCTTGCATCAGTCTCAAGGGGATAGGTAGAGGCTGGGTGTTTCCTTTTAGCATGCTGTGAGGCTTGAAGAACTGACTACTATTTCTGTTCTATCATCTTCACCAACCTAATAATAAAAAAAGAATTTGAAAAACCACAGTGTACTAAAAAAGGCAATTACTTCATCATCTGTTGGCTAAGTCTGAATTCTAGAAAGATTTCACAGCCAATGTGGATGTTATTTGAGCTCTTTTATAAAGTCAGCTATATGGGAAAGTGGATTCTGCTAACCTGGTTGGATTTGAGTGTTGCAGGACAGAAAGAAAATTTTAAAATGGATATAATGATAAGTATAATTTTTACTACTGCTTTTACAAGCAATATTTTTAAGATTTATTTTTTTAGAGTTGATACTTTTCAGTTTCCATTTATTAATGAAGATAAGCTTTTCTTAAAGAGAAATGTATCAACATAAAATTTTGGACTTGGCTTCAAATTCCAGTTTCCTTAAAACTGGAAATATCTGGATTCAACCTCTTTTCACAGAGTGTGTTGCAACAGCTTTCTCTGTCTTTCACAAACACATGTTACCCCAAGAGATTAGTTTCACTGTTACTTTAGCAGAGGAAAAAGTGAGAGTATTTTAGGAAATGTATTTCATACTACCTTGAATTCAGTAACTCTTCCAGGAACTTTTCCACTTTCTGCACCTCCTTTTTCTTCTCAGGAACAAGCTGTTTGCTCTCTCCTAATGCTTCTGTGCTTATTCTTTCTTCCATGTCATGTATCCACAGGCCAAGTTTCTTGTACTGATCTTCAAAGCTACAGAACAGATAAATACTCCCTTAAAATTATTTCTCAGGTGGAGTAAAGTTAGTAAGAAGTTAACTCAGTTCTTTCAGTATCCACAAGACCAGGAAAATAAAGCTAGGTATCAATTTCATGCTTCGAGAATAAGAGTTGTACACAAAACATAATTCCACAGTGACTACTAATCTAAAAATATTCAGCAACTCTCTAAAAATGTCTAGCAAAATCATGGGAACTACAGTGAAAAAAGAAGCCTCCAAAATTTAAAGTGACAGTGCTTTTATTTATTACTATATTCACTAAAGGCAGACAAAAAGAAAGCTTTTTCCAAATCCTTAGAATGATTTAGTCAAAGATTAAAAAATGAGTGGAAATCGGCTTTTACTCAGTATTGACACTTTCAACACCTGAAGTGTTCTGCTTTCTGCTTCTCAAAGAGAACATGACTGGAATCTGCAGTGCTCAGAACTCAGCAAAACAAGTTCTGGCCGTAAGTTTGAAAACCTGTTCCTTACATGAAGGCACACCATCTTGTCTTGCTGTTTTACCCATTACTGCTAGGCTAACTTTACTTTCTATTAGCAACAGTTTTGAATCTAGCTATACCTAAAAATGTTTGAACATCCAGAATTCCAGCCCTAAGAAATAATTTAAGAGTGTTTTCTTATTAGCTCCTTAGGAAATTTGTCCATCTGGAATGGGACAGCACAGACGCATGCTGTGTAAAAAGCATACTATCTTCAAACCCCAGGGCAGAACTTGAAAATTCATCACACCTTTTCCTTCCAGGAAATTGCATGTAAATTACTGGGATCCCAGCTGCTGATTTGGATCAGCTACACAGATCTTCCACATACATGATCCTGACCTTCCATTCTTTAACCAAATCAATACCCTTGGAGCAAGACCTGTTGCTTTGTTTTTTAGCAGAGAACTTCATTTTCTCTTAAAAATTTCTAAAGAAAAAAGCAAACAGGACTAGAATAACTGGAAATAATTTCAAATTGTTCCCTGTATTTCTGCAGCTGGACAATTTAATGCAGTGCATCTGTGACTACTGGTATTACTCACCTTCCCAGGTGTGAGGCACAAGCTTCCAGGGCCGCCTTATCATTCAGACACTGGTTGAGGAACTCCTGGAAGTTCTGCTTAGACTTCGCTATTTGCTCCTGAATATGGCTCACAACTGGTTTGGGTAAGCAAGCGTACAAACCTTCTCCTTCCTTGCAGACAGCGTCTAACTTGTTCTGTCCCTCACTAACAGAATCCAACACACTCTGTGTAATGAAAGAATACAGTTTAAACATTCAAGATTTAATAACTAAAGATAAGCAATATTTCTATTAGAAGTGGTCGGATTTCCCCAACAAGATGAGAGCCATGTCTAGCTATGGAAAAAATTCTAAGCAGATAGTTAAAATAAAAATTTAAGTGTTGCTACAATTCACAGAGGTCAATTTTCCTATTTGGTCCCAAGATAGTCCTGTCTTTCTCTGGATAGTTTAGTCATGTCCTGAAGATGTTATACATTTCAGGGATTAGGGCTGTTTGCAGTAGGTGTCAGCTATTTGTGTTCTGTCCCATCAAAAAATCTGCACAGATAAGCTTTGACATATCAGTGTTAATCTAAAAGATTGAATAAGCAATAGTGTAAGAAAAAGTAGGAAAAAGAAAAGAAGAGAAAAAAGGGAAAAAGGGAAAAAAATTAAAATCAGAAACAACAATAGTTTAGTTACACATAAACCTTCCAGAAATTAAATTTTGATCTCTCAGAACAGTGAACAGTTTCCACTGTATTGTCTCTACAGTACGTATTGCTGTCTTGAACCATTCTTATATTACCTTTTTGGAAACAAAACCAATAAATATGATAGCATCTACAAATTATTTTAGAGATATAATTGGATATGTATAGTTAAATTGATAATTACTATTTTTTTAATTTGTTCACTCTACCTGCAAGTCATGTAGCTTTGCCTCTATGGCTTTGCTGTCTCCAGACCTGTCAGATGATTCTTTTACTGCAGCCTTCACACCAGAAAACCATTCCTGGAATTCTTGCATAGAATCTTATTTAATAAAAAAGTATAGAGAAGAGAATATTTTTTTAAGAAGCAGCATTATCCACAATACTATACAGTTGTCTTCCACAATTCTGTTATCCTTCAGGAACAGCATGTAAAAGCTAACAGGATGAGTCTCATTGCCTTCAACGACCTTGGGGAGTGGGATTCATTTCACAAAAAGTTAGGTGCTTCCCTTATAAACATCCAAATTTGAACAGTCACACTAGGCTCCTCTTTATAGTCAATGGGAAAAAACAGGCATTTTCAGTCTATGGTATGTCCCAATCTAACGTTCGATAATATCTAGATTAATATTTTAATATATAAGATTAAAAATTGCCTACTTCTCTCCACCAACTATCCAGGGAGCCCAGGAAATACTTCAGATGGGGACTTTTACATTATAAGCATCTCCATTTGGTTATATACATCTCTTTATGGCAAATACACAAAGTGTATGTATGCAATAGATATGTATACTAAGAGTGAAGAAAGGTGGAGCTGAGCTTGCCTTTCATGCATATTACATGCTTAAAGTTGAATTCTCTTTTTGTAAAATGCTTTGTTTCATAGCAATTATCAAATTAACATTTGGTAACAGGACTTTGGAAAGGCTCCATACAAAAATAAAGTTGTAATTGCAAGTGGCATCACTGGAAACTCTGGCAGACTACAGAATGATTCATGGCTGAGGGCTAATGGCTCATATGAACAAGCCTGAAGACTCACAGAGGAAATGTTTTTCAAAGGACTCTTGCATGCTGGCCTGTGTTCTGGAACAGAGCTGATTCACAGCTTCATACTTCTTTATTAATGAAGTGACAGTGCCACCAAGAGTTTCCAGCTCTACAGAATGGTATTTGCGACACAGACTGTTGAGGTTCTCACGGGTCGAGTCAATGCTGCTCTGCTGAAGCTGAAGATCTTTTTGTGTTTCCTGAAAATGAAGTTACAACACAAATATGACATTTGTGAAGGAACAAGAGAGCCCTCTCTTTTCCTGAAGCATTCCTGATCTTCCCATATGCTCTTTCCTCCTATGATCTATTGCAAGTCCTAGACACAATGAAGGGAAGTACTGGATCATGTTTCCTGAATTTTCTGAGTGAGATGAATCCTTGAAACTAAAGACCCAACACAGAAATGTGAAAAATGCTGTTTCTCATGTTTTACTACTCTATTAAAAATAAATAAATTTCAAGGCACATTGAATAGCAATAGTTATTTTCAGCAAAGTCCAGGTACATGTGACATGCAGTATGACGCTGGTATTTGGTGGGACTTCTGAATGAAAGGGAGGTTTTTTTCTGACAAGAGAGGAACATTTGTTTGAAAATTAAATTTGAATTGGCTAGTACATCCACACTAACAACATGTGCTCACGCTGAAAAAATCTCCATGTGGTTTGTCATGTTATGATGTGCATAACTGTATGAATCAAGAGAGCTCTAGGAGGTAGACAAAAGAATTGCTATATATGAGGACTGAGGAGGACTTCTGAGGTAGAAGTTTGTGTTAAAATTGAGTTTAGCCCAGGGTCTTTTACTGTGATGAGTTATAGCAGCTGTGCAGGAGATATATATATATTATCAAATGAAAATTAAGTATAATGCTTAGCAAAAACTCTGATAAAAAAACCCAAAGATCACTGCATAAGAAAAAGCATATTCATTTTCTTCAGCACCGACCTTCACTTTGTTTAGAGCTTCAGGATCCAGGTTACGTGCACAGCTTAACAGTGTCTCTTCCACTTTCGTTAACCAGTCTGTCATCTGATCAATAAACTTCTGTAACTGCATCTTCTGAGTACTGAAATCTTTCAGTGTCTCTTTTGCTGTCTCTGACATTTCTTTGGCATGTTCCAACTTCTGCCTCAAATCTGATTCTATAAACTAAAAGCAAAATGTTATGTATTAAAGCATTTAAATAAAACATTTATTGTGGTGAATGTTTATGGAAAAAATGGAAGGTAGGAAAGTGACACATGATCATTTTGCTCTCTTTACATCTGTAACTAAAGACACTTACATAAATAAAAAATGTCAACCATTCAGGATCGAATCTTAGACATACAGTAATAAAAAGAAGGGATACTAACTTATAAAAAGCCGGACTGCAAACTGTTGAAGTTATTATCCACTTCTGAAAAATTAAACAGTTGATCTTTTTCCTTTACTAATTTGCCATATATACAGAACATGACCTAAACACAACTAGCTCCATAAAAAGAAATATCAATTGGTGAGACTTAAGAGCACTGAGGCTTGAATTATCTCAGTGTAAGGCAGATTAAAGCTGAAGACAATACAAAAATAAGTTAGAATATTGCCCATTAACCTGTTCAAAAACAGCAATATGTGAAATTATAGTAGATGTCAGCTGTGCACATATTACTAATGAAAAGTAAATCAAATCAGTCATAATAGTCATATTTATAAATGAGCAATTACTGAAAATTCTGTTAAGGAATTGTTTATGTTCTTAGGATATGAGCTGATCATACTGTAGTTTACTTATTTAGCATTTGAATATTGGCAAATAATTTGGGGATTTATGTTTACTTTGTGAGGCTTTATTTTCAAATTTGTGTTTATGTATCAACTACAATTATTTTATTGTATTGATTTAAATTTTTTATTATACTTATCATATTTACTAGTTGGAAATAGGTGTGTGTTGGTTAACAGTGATATTCTGCAAAATAATTTGCTCTAAGTTTTCCTCTATAAGTGGACAGATATTTATTATGAAACATACGATTAAATCTGAATTTTCTGAACCTCTCACATAAAGGAAACAGCTTGGGAGAACATAAGCACTTCCATATAATTTTGCACATCTTTATACTATAGGGTTCTTGACCCATATCTGATTGGTAATTTAGGCATATGTGTACAATCATGGCGAAATGTGGACAAGGCTTGAGTGTTATATTAAGTTCTGTGAAAATCTGATAAAAGGTTTTGAAACAAATAACTGTTCAGGTATTTCCCTGCCTGTGGAAATCACAGAAGTCAGCTTATCTTTTAAAACTTCTGACACTGAAAGCGAATAATCTCACATACCAATTTCCATTTGAAATCAAACATCCAAAATAGTCATAGTTTGGTTTTGCATCTGCCCTAGAACATAAAAAATAACGACCTAGCCAACAATAAAAGTTCAACATCTCACCTTCAGCATTCATATTTTACCCCTGTCTTGTAACAGCTAGTTCAGGGCACCAATTCCAGTCCACTAAAGAATACTTTTGGTTTGATAAAGCAAATGAACATATTTTACTGCATTATAATGCTTTCAAAGACGCAAACTACATAAGCACACATATATGATGTGGCTTAATGTTGTGCAGTGTAGAGAATATCATGTGTCTCATACCTGATAAGTTACCTTATAAACTATTTACTCTATTCCGAATTAGCAGAAAATACTTTTTCAACTCTAATGATCAATTACTTTATGGCATAATTTTTTCAGAAAAAACCCAAAGTTAACTGAAGAAATGTGAACAATCAATAGTTATGATACATACAAATAATGCTGTATCTGTCACCTTGAAAGAAAAAGGCAGTACAAGAGAGACAGAAGTTTCAGGAGGAGTTTCTTCTTAGTCATTTGAGCACAGTCTGTGATTACCAATATCTTTACTTTACCTGGAGATCTGCAGGAGGCTCTTGACTATGAGTCAGTTCTTTGAGATCTGAAATTTTGGAACTAAGCTGCTCCAACTTCAGTTCTTTTTCCTTGACTTCAGACTGTAAAAGAGATGTGGTCAAAGTTTCACACCAAACTACAAGAAGTTTTTAGACCTTCAGAAGGATGCTCCATCAATTGCAAAAACGAAAGAAAATGTAAACAAAGTTTAGCAACCAGAGGGAAAACACTGTTGTTCTATTAGTTTTATTCTCTAAAAATCTCCCATCTCTTTTCCTTTATTAGGCTCAGTTCAGAGGTTTTTTTTCCTTCCATTAAAATAACGACACACATTTTTAGCATTTAAAATGCACTGGCAGCTTTAGTTTCTTAAAAGTGACGGAATAAAGATGGGAATGTCATTGTTTATTCGACTGGAAAAATCTGCTGTGGTTGTTAGGTTCCACTTAATGGCATGCAGAGTATAATACATGTGCTCTCTGGTTTTTATTACAAGGAAGTGAGCTCTCAGAAAAAAATTAGACACAGAAATAAATTTTAACCTCAAAAGGGAATGAAAAAATGCTGCTATATATGCACTGACATATTTGGAACTTGTGTTTACTGTGGTCATATAGATCCAAGTTATAAAGAAATATTCTACTTATTAAAAAAATAATAGCAAAGTGAAAGAGAAAATCATAATTTGTATAATTGTCATTCTGAAGTATTAGGCAAGTAATTGGTGTGTGTATCCTATTAACCAAACTTTCTTTTCTAAAAAAATCAAACAGATCACTCCAGTTAAAAGCTTGGAAAGTGGATTTCAGGATTAAATTCCTGCACTTAACATCTGCCCTGAATGACAGAAGTTCAGGTGGCCCCAGAAGAATCCTCAGGGGCTATTTTGTGCTAGGGAGGATATAATATTAGGTGACTGATCAAGAAAGAGACAACTGCTATGGACCATGTACAAGGTAGAGTGATTATTTCTGTCCATGCTCATCTATTTCTGATTGCTGAAATGGCAGGACCCTTCTGTCAGTGAACTGCTTTTCCTCTTGCCTTTGCAAAAGAAGGTGCAAAAAAAGGATTATGGACTATGCATTCTATGACTGCAAATGTATATACAGTGCTCATGTCTTCTGCTATTCTGGCCCTCCTGTGAATCAGGTACACCTGTGGTTTTGGTAATGGCTGCTCTTACTCCAAATCAGTTTTAATAGTGATGAACTTAGGTGGTCTGATTGCTATACTAGTCAGAAAGATATTAGATAAAGCTTGTCCTGAGCAAAATACTGATTTAGCACCATTTTACATTCTATCACACTACTTGTATATGTTTACTGTGCATCTTCTTAAAGACATCATTTATTTCAAATGAAGTAGAATACAGCTCACTCTATGGTTGATCTGTTGTATATTTTAAGCCAATAGAGGCAGAATGCATCCTGAACATTGGCTAAATTTCTAAAACAGTTTAACACTGTCCAGAAAAGAAAGACCTCATCTTATTGAAATTGTTAGAACCTGATATTAAAATTTGCCCTCCAGTCCAGCATATCTTTTTTATTGTCTGCAGAATCTACCTTCTTAGATGAGATTTTAGAAACTACTCATTTTTTGCTTAACTTCAGCTGAAGTTGCCTAAAATTCCCATCAGTTTCTACTGGAACAGAGTTCTGTCCAATGCCATGCTTTTTGAAATTTTTGTGCTTGTAAGAACACATTGTCATGTATTGCTACAGCCAAAATAACTGTGGAGCTTAGATTTAGTAAGAGATGTGCCGTTCTTGTTTCTATCACAAGCAAACAGCTTCAAAAAAGGACTGGAAACCTGTCAGCTAGCCATTGGGTTAGTGGTACCACAGCTTGAACAGGGGACACGGTGGTCTACAACACCACAGCCTTATCACTTGAGATTTTGGTCCAGAACTTTTTTATTACTGATTTATGGGTAAGCACCTGGAAGTCTTTCAGGAGGACCTCCATTCTTTGACTGTTACTCAAGTTGCTGATGCCTTCATTCATTTGAGAAATGCACTTATTGCACCATCCATCCATTTCATCTCCAGTTTTCAGGATGTCATCCCATAGAGACACGCTTACACTCAGCCGGTCGATGTTGTCTTCAATTCTTTCAGACACCTTTTAGGAGAGGAAAATGTATCAATACCATTCACAAATTAATTTTAGATTTCTTTATTTTGCAGCCAATTGTAAGACAAGTGCATCATAAATAACTAGTAAGCCTAGGCGAAATGATTTTCTTAGAGTTAGGTCTAAGTTCTGAATTCTAATTTCAATTTAGTTATGCAGATCATAAAATGAACAAAAATTTTATGTGACTGTTTCTAAAAAGTTAAATATTTTACACTGGGAAAGAG